AGCAGCTGAAGAACTGCTGCCGGCGCCAAAACGAGGACGTTAAGCTGATGATGGAAGAGCTGCAGCGGGAGAATCAGGAACTCGTCCGGAATTACGAGCAGGCCGAGCAGGAGATGGAGGCCGTGCGGAAGGTCCTGAGCGAGCTGATGGACGCCAAGATAGCCTTTGAGGCTCGCGAGAGACAAGTCCGCAAGCTCAGCAAACAGCTGTGAGACCCACCCCTGGACTTCCTCGTCTTTCTGGGTCAGACCCACCATTTTGTTCCACAGCTAGAAATCTCCACTTCGGCTGCTTCCCTTGCCTGATCTATCACCTGTCACAACCACATGGACACCTCCCTTTGTCCTCGGCAGTTTCTGGTGCCCAAACGAACGGGAGGATCTTCCTCATCACCGTCAATTCCATCCTCTGTGTGGCCTCATGTCGCAACCAGTGTTCCCTCTAAGCTGAGTTAGTGTGAGCTAGCTCACAGTTTTTCAGCCTCCAGCTCACAGATTTTTGTCTTCGCTCAGGAAGGAGGGCTCTAGAGCCAACTAATTTATGCAGTAGCCAAATTGCTTGCTCACAAATTTCATGCCAGTAGCTCACAGAGTAGAATTTTTGCTCACAGGACTCCACAGCTTAGAGGGAAACATTGGTCGTAACCCCCCCTCTGGAAGCCATCTTGTGGTCACTGCACAGTCACTCCTGCGGTCTCGACTCCCTTAGCGAACACCTGCTCACAAAATCCTCACCGGTTTCATCACTGCCTGCTTAGCAGTCATCGAGACTTGCTTCTCTTTTCACACTCTGATTGTTTTCCGCCGGAATGTATTAATGTCAATTTTCGTGTGTGTTCGCAGAGGACGGTACCCAGTCAACTTTGCAGTCATTATCCCATGGCTCATAGGCTCTCGTGGTGTTCATAATTGCGTTAGATGTAGCTCGGTCTTCAATCCTGTTAGTTTCCCCAGCAACCTGAGCTTTCAGCCTCCTTAAGAGTGTTTATTACCTGTAGTGTGGTCAGACAGGGCTGGCTCCGTGTCCTATCCTGATGATCCAATTTCCTTGGTATTCGTGCAATTTCTTAGCCATTTTGAACGGTCTCAGAGGCCCGACATAGGCGTTGTGCTGTTTTTTTTGTGCGACTAGTGTCTTGGATGCTGCTGTAGGAAATACTTCTTTATGCAGTGAGTGATTAAAATGTGGGATTCGCTGCCAGAAGGTGTAGTAATGGCCACAGGTACAGATAGCTGTAAAAGAGGATTAGACAGATTCATGGTGGCTATCAGTGGCTATTAGCCAGGGTGACTAAAGGGAAACGTCAAGTTCAGAGGCTGCCAATCTCTAAATCCCAGAGCTGGGAGGCAACCTCAGGGGAAGGCTTCGGCCTCTCTGACCTGTTGTTGGCCCTCCAGA